AGTCAGAGTGAACACCACCATTTACAAGTTCCCCTCCAAGCCTCTCAACAATCTGATTTGGAAATACATTGTCATTACTTCAGTGTCTCCAGGTCAAAATCCTGGAATTCTGTCCCTAAGGGCACTGCTATTCTCCTGGAATGGATAATAAATGCTGGCTAGCCAGCAATGCTCACAACGTTATGAATAAAAAAAGTTGCAGGGAGATTTTGACATATATTCTTGGGTATTTAGATAAGAGGCAGTCAACTTTATTAAATTGATAGATTTATTTTGAGGAAGACCTTGCAGGTTTAATTTACAAGATGAAGGTCAGCTTGGTTTCTTGGAAATGTGAAGACAAACTGAGTGAGACAGGTGTTAAAAATATTACAACTGCTCTTAAACTAATCCAAAATCCCCTTGTTTCCTTTGGCCATACATTGTAGATCAATTGATATAAACGTTGTATTTCTGCAGTGTGACATCCTTCAGGGAGAAATTTATCTGAAACTTCACAAAGAGGCATCAGATGCAGAAGGGAGACTAGAAACTAAGCAAATGTGTTTCTGACCAGAATGATGTTTCCAGGCTGTCATGGTTAACAGCGAAATCTGTTTTATTGGTATCTGGTCGAAAATGCTCCAGCATCTTTAGACTTGTTAATGACTTCTAAAAGGGCTGTGTTGTTCAAGGTATTGTTCTGAAGGGGCTAATATTCCTATTACATTGCCACTGCCCATTATATTGATGTTACACCCAATCTCTGGCACCTGTTACATCTTGCCAACCAGAAAATGACCCATTTACATCTACTCTGTTTCCTGTTAGCTGCCCGGTCTTCTGTCTATACCAAACACCATAAGTTTGTATTCTCCACAATGACCTATGATGTGGTACATTATTAACTTATTAACCAGAGAGTGTCTTGTGAAATGTTAAATTATTAAATTAGTTTCAGGAAAGGTTACTCCCATCGCAACCATCACCAAAATTTGACATTATAGGCACGAAGCAGTTGTGAACTTTGATTGGTTGATTAAATTGACTGTATGCTTGCACTCAGATGTTCACCCTAACATCTGAGGGCAAGTGCTGGCCTAGTCGTGTTATCAGTGGGATAACATTCCAGTGACTCAGGTAATAGAACATAGAACATAGAACAGTACAGCACAGTACAGGCCCTTCGGCCTACGATGTTGTGCCAAACTTTTACCCTAATCCTAAGGTCTATCGAACCTCCATCCCTACCTAATACTATCATCCATATGCCTATCTAATAGCCACTTAAATGCTCCTAATGAGGCCGACTCCACTACCCTCTCTGGCAATGCATTCTATGCCCCGACCGCTCTCTGAGTAAAGAACCTACCTCTGACGTCTCCCCTATATCTACCTCCAGTCACTTTAAAACTATGCCCCCTCGTAATAGCTACCTCCACCCTAGGAAAAAGTCTCTGGCTGTCTACTCTATACCTCTGATCATTTTGTACACCTCTATCAAGTCACCTCTCATCCTCCGTTGTTCTAAAGAGAAAAGCCCTAGCTCTCTCAACCTTTCCTCACAAGACCTTCCCTCCATTCCAGGCAACATCTTGGTAAATCTCCTCTGCACCTTTTCCAACGCCTCCACATCTTTCCTGTAATGAGGCGACCAGGACTGGACACTACACTCCAGATGTGGCCGAACCAGGCTTTTGTATCGCTGGAGCATAACTTCACGGCTCTTGAACTCAATCCCTCTATTAATGAAAGCTAACACACCATACGCCTTCTTAACAACTCTATCCACCTGGGTGGCAGCTTTCAGGGAACTGTGGACATGAACCCCGAGATCCCTCTGCTCCTCCACACTGCCAAGAATCTTTCCCTTAACCCTGTATTCTGCTTTCAAGTTTGTCCTTCGAAAATGAATCGCCTCACACTTTTCAGGGTTAAACTCCATCTGCCACTTCTCAGCCCAGCTCTGCATCATATCAATGTCCCTTTTGTAACCTAGAACAGCCCTCCGCACTGTCCACAATACCACCCACCTTCGTATCGCCCGCGCACTTGCTAATCCATCCTTCCACTCCTTCATCCAAATCATTTACAAAAATCACAAATAGAAGAGGACCCAGAACAGATCCTTGTGGTACACCACTCGTAACTGAGCACCATGTTGAATATTTTCCGTCCATTACCACCCTTTGTCTTCTAAGGGTCAGCCAATTCTGAATCCAATCTGCCACATTTCCCCCTATCTCATGCCTCCTTACTTTCCGCATGAGCCTACCATGGGGAACCTTATCAAACGCCTTACTTAAATCCATGTATACCACATCCACTGCTGTACCTTCATCCACGTGTTTGGTCACCACTTCAAAGAATTCAATAAGGTTTGTGAGGCATGATCTACCCCTCACAAATCCACGCTGACTATCACGAATCAAACTGTGCCTTTGCAAGTGATCATAAATCCTATCTCTTAGAGCCCTTTCCAATAATTTGCCCACCACTGATGTAAGTCTAACTGGCCTGTAATTTCCAGGGTTATCCCTATTCCCTTTTTTGAACAAGGGAATGACGTTTGTCACTCTTCAATCTTCCGGCACTATACCCATGGACAGTGAGGACGAAAAGATCATCACCAAAGGCCCTGTGATCTCTTCCCTCACTTCCCATAAAATCCTTGGATAAATCCCATCAGGCTCGGGGGACTTATCTATCTTCAACTTCCTCAAAATTCCTAGTACATCTTCCTTACTAACATCGACCTTCTCTAGCCTACCAGCCTGTTTCACACTGTCCTCCTCTACAATTAGGTCCCTCTCAGTTGTGAATACCGAAGAAAAGTATTCATTAAGGACCTCTCCTATCTCTTTAGGCTCCGTGCACAAATTCCTTTACAATCCTTGATCGGCCCTACCCGTAATCTGGTCATTCTCTTATTCCTCACGTACGTGTAAAAAGCCTTGGAGTTTCCCTTGATCCTATCTGCCAAGATTTTCTCATGCCCCCTTATAGCTCTTCTAAGCTCTTTCTTCAGCTTCTTCCTGGAAAACTTGTATCCCTCTAGACCCTTTCTCGTTCCTTGTTTCCTAAACCTTATATAAGCATCCTTCTCCCTCTTAACCAGTCGTTCGACCTCTCTTGAGAACCAAGGCTCCCTCACTTGACCATATCTTCCCTGCCTGCTAGGGACAAACATATCGAGCACATGCAGCATGCATTCCTTAAACAATCTCCACATTTCAATAGTGCTCTTCTCTGACAGCACCTGTTCCCAATTTATGTTACCCAGTTCTTGCCTAACAGAATTGTAATTACCCTTCCCCCAATTACAAACCTTACCCTGCTGTATGTACCTATCCTTTTCCATGGCTATTGTAAAAGAAACAGAGTTATGATTGCTACCGCCAAAATGCTCTCCCACCATCAGGTCTAACACTTGGCCCGGTTCATTGCTAAGCACCAAATCTAAAGTGGCCTCTCCCTCATGTTGGTCTATCTACATACTGTGTCAGGAATCCTTCCTGAACGCACTGGACAAAATCCGCTCCATCTCAACTATTACAACTAAGAAGTTTCCAATCAATATTTGGAAAGTTGAAGTCACCCATGACTACAACTCTGTGACTT